TCTTTCACACTGCATTACAATTAAAACAATGTCAATAAAGAGGACACTTGGAGACAGTCTTAACTGTCAGACACGAAACTACCACATTGGTAAAAGCTCTGGATTTTGTAAAAGGAAAAAATCAGCTTGTAGAAAGCAAATATTAGTTAAATGGCAAATTCTAGCCATTCTAGCTTTGAATACATATGACAGATCTTTAACATGTTGAGCAGATTTTGACATAGAACCTCTGAAACATTTTGCTTTGAATTATTTATAAATAATGAAGTAGTCTAAAATGACCTCAGGTTGCAATTAACTAGTCAAATTGAAGAAAAAGAAAAAAACTTTTCTCACCCAGGCTATGCTCCTCTTTTTGCCTCTTTTCCCACTTTGAGCTGTCCACATATGCTGCAGAAAGAAGAGATCTTCTACCTAATGACGAAAGAAATCACTAGGTAAGTTAGGTTGCTTAGACATCTCTAAACTAACACTTTATTAGATATCACCTTTTTCTGTCACACTTACTGAGTTGGATGCATTAAACAGTCTTTATGACATAGCTGTCAGCTGTAGCTACAATAACAGTTCAGATTCCTTAGACGTGGATAGGCCCTTAACTTTGTTATTTTTAAAACTGAAAAGCTTTCACCTAAAAGTTTTTTTTCAGCATGAAACAAGTCTTCCCAAACCTGAAGTCTGTATTTAAGAAAAGGATAAATTTTTAAAGGTAGAAAAAAAAACGAACAATAAATGATAGCTTCTTTGTGCACACAGATCTTTTTCAATAAATGTCAGCAATTCGCTAAACACAGGCATAAAAGCACAAGCAAAAAAGATGAATATGCACAAGAAGGCTTTTCTATTGTTGTATGGTTATTTTTTCCACCTGTAAACGTTTGTCTCACTGGAAACAAAAGGTAGATGCTCATCTGGAAATACTCCATCTTTGATCATCTCATTTTTTTGCATCTCCTGTGAACTGCAGAGTTCACTCAAATGTTTTTGAAAGTTTTTTTCCTAATACTCTTTGTACCACCCTTTAGAATCTGCTCAAGACGCTTTTCTAGCTTTTGAAACAAAATGGAAAACAATTCAGCTGGAAGAACAAACCATGTTTGTGCAACACTCATAGATGATAAGGCCTTGAAGATGCATGAGGAATATCTGGATAAAATTTGTTGAAGGAAGATATAGAAATACATGCAGAAGGCTGCAGAAAGAAATGTTAAGAAAAATGAAATATTTTTAAAATAGCCATTGCTCAGCTATGCAGAATTCTTAGCAGCCTTAAAGCCCTTATCTGAAAATCTACCTGCTGCCACTGAAAGTTTGTTATCCTTGGGTTTAAAACCTTTTTTTGTCCTTATCATCCTTCTGACGTGCAATTATACATACACATCCTGCTCTGAACATCTTTGCAATATTTTCAAAAAGACCTGGTACACGGAATTCCACAGTCAGAATACGAGAATACATACAACGCTTTACCAAACAATTAGAAAATAAGAAAAAGAGGTATTTCTGGTTGCTTGGTGGGGTTTATTTTAAAGCTGTTTTTCATCATGTTGGTAAAAGAGGCACACAAAAGATGGGGGGCTTGGGTATTTTTTAGGATAAACTTTTGTGTGCTCATGCACTGCTAAGGATCCCACTAGCAAGAATGAGGGTTTAAAGAACTTTTTTCCTATGGAACAAGCAACTGTCTTTACGGCAGGGCTTTGCTCAGGTAAGCTGGAGGTCGGGTTTGAGCTCTTCACCAGTGCCAGAGGAAAGGGCGGTATTCCCGAGACATGGGCATCCAGCTACCAGGAAGCAGCACAGAGAAATTTCTGCTCAGGGAAGCTGAAAAGGCAGAACGAAGCCGCACTTTAAGTAAACGTTACTGAGTTCAGTTCTTCCCAAAGGTCAGGATTTTTGGAAAGATGGCTTTTCGAAACCATCAGCCTCGGCGGTGCTTCTGTCACCCGAGTTACTCGGTCTGGCTGAACACCTACGGCCGACCGCGGGTGCGGCGTCCTCCGTGCAGCTCCGTGTGCCTGCCTGTGACCCAGAAAGGCAGGTCCTAAGGTACCAAGCTAGGAAATCGGCACGGCGGAACACCTATAAAAAACCGAATTAAGAATACTCTCGTGCACCGCACGCTGGTGACACGCCGTTCTCAGACCTGCCTACAATTATACACAGGAACACACGTATAAAGGCGAAGGGAA